AATAGATTTCGAAAGAGATTAAAAATCTCGTACATAGCATCAGTTGCAAATATTTATTTATCATTATTATGCGATATAAAACATTTACTTCATAATTAAGTAAAACTTATTTAACTGTACTCGATTTTTCGTATCAAAGTATCATGAAAAAGATAGATATTTTACCAAGTGGCAATAAAGATCTCCCATCAATGGATTTTAAGATTAAATGTAATAAAAAAATCTATGTGTATATTAGAATATTCAAAACTTTGAATAAAATTGCTTTAATTATTTGTAAATATATTCATTATATTATAAAGGCTATTGTAATCATAGTAATTATAATCACTACAATAAAAGTGAAGTAATAATAATTATATATATTACAATACATTTTAATAAACAATTTAAATTTATTAGAATTTAAGTATTATTGTCGTTACAAGTAAACTAGATTTATATGCTAACATATGCTTGTCCAGCAAGCACTTTTAGATGGAACAGTATTTTATTATTATAACATTAAACAATTTCTCTATTAAACAATTTTTAATATCCATAAATAAAGAATGTGTATGTATAATACTTTTACGTACGAGTATTACTTTTATATCCAAATCCACATAAATGACACAAAATAATCATTAGATTATACTTATTAAATTCGAATAATCGTAAAAATTGGATTTAAGTTATAATTTTAAAATAAATTCTAAAATAATATTATATGTAAAATAATGATTATAAAGTTACTTAATATCTCACTATATTATCCAGTAAGCTAATATCTTTCTATTCATGTTCAATCCAACAAAATGCACCCTACAAAATTTATTTGAAAAGTGAGTGCAGATCATAAAAATATTTGAAAAAATATTAGCTAAAAATTAATTTTGATTATTATTCTGAACAATTACTATTTATTCTCCTATTCATTTTCAATAAAGAACTAAAACTAAAAAACTAAAATTTAAAAAAAGTATAATTTTTTAATAAAATGCATTCTTTGTTCTTAACTGATTAACATTTACTTCCAAATATTGTATTCTTAATATCTATACATTTTATATGCATCTTTCTCTACATGATATATCAGTAATCAAGAAAATAAGTGAATAAACAGAAATAATTGCATTTATATTACAATAATTTTTTGATAACTACAAGTAGTTTGATACATATGCTGTTCTTACAATATACGTATCCTATATATGTTTCTAACTTTTCGTACACCGCATGTAACCAGATAGAATTTGAATTAATCTGAATTAAAAAATCCTCACCATTTTTGCAATTTTTTTTAATTACCCAAGCAAAATGTCTAAAACCTATACAACTTTAAGGCAACTTTAAAATATCTTTGAAATATCTTTAAGATTCCATAAAGAATTCTGTTCATAAAGATCTTAAAATTGTCTTATGCATTTATTTTATTTGCTCATTTCACAATCTTTAGAAAATATCTCGTTAAATATTGCAAAAATTACAAAATGATAGAGAGTGAGTTTTCAATTCAGTTTAGTCCGCTCTAGCTTCCCACAAATGGTGTGCCAAACATTTGAGACACTCTGTGTGTGTTCTGCCCACTAGAATCTAATAATGTTCAATAGCAGATTATTAAAATTTATTAATGAACTCTAAGAAATTATTTTCACAATATTAAACAATTATTTATAAAAATATGTTTCGAAACAACGGTAAAATAATTCAAATAATGTTTTTAAAATACCCTTGGCATAGGACATTACACATCATTTATTTTTATGAATATTAAAAAATACTCCAGATACATTCCTTTTTAAATTCATTTTTATTTGTTCTTTTTGAACAAATCAAATTGAATTTAAATAAAAAAAAATTTTTTTATTAAAAAATAAGGAATTTTGGCCACACATGCTTCTCTGGCATAATTAATTATTTCACAAAGTTATATTTAATAATCTCAGGACAAACAGCTTGTAATATTGTATATGGACTAATGTAGACGGTTCAACTATCAATTACAATCACTTATCTGAAAAATATTTTGATAACAGAAAATATCTATAACCAATAATACATTCATCATTCTATTTAAAATCTGAGTACTTTACTGCCACATGGTAATACTATCAGTTTGTTTATATATACCAGAAGACATTGCAATAATATAATAATCTCTCTGAAAAACATTGATATAGAGTAGTTGTGCAGAGAATTTCTTACAAAATTTGACAGTTAAATAATTATCAGAAATGTAGCACTTCGCGTAATGTCGCACGAGGTCAGCCATGTTATAAAATCATATTTATTAATATTATCTACATAATAAATGAAATAATTAACGACATTAAAAATATATCTAAAATTCTTTTCTAGAGAAAGATTTTAAATGCATGTATAGATTGATTAAACTTAAAAAGGAACGCGATTTGATCTAAATGATTCGCGGATATAACGCGAAACTCTATATAACATAAAGAAAGAGGCACATGTATATACTATATATTAAAAGTTAAGATTTAAAGGAATATCTGTACATACTTGTATATTTCACAAAATTATGACTAAAAACATATAATCCAGATTTCTTCAATATCACCACGCTCAATATCCATTTTGAGGCACCCCGCATAGTGTCTTGCGTCTTGTATAATATTATGTTTACAAAGATACATTCATAAACACAATGGATGAGCAAGAAATATTGAAGTTGAACGCAATGTAATCATTCCTTCCCAAATAAAATAGTACTATCCAGCACAAGGCATACACTCACGCTTCTTATTATTTTATAATATTGAGATACGAATATTCATTATATTCAGCTATCAAATATGTATTAAATAACAATAACGAAAATGAATCAGTTAAAAAATTTTCTATATAGTTGAATATGGATTTGGTCTGAATTATGTAACAAGAATTATATCTATTTGACATAATAATTGGCAACTAAAGATATGCAAAATCATTAAGTTCATTATTCACATTAGTATAAGAATAATAGTATTGTATAATACATAATAGAATTTAATAGTAGAAAACTATTCCGCGTCCACGAAATTTGAGAGTTAGTAACTGTTACTTGGTGAATGCAGCAAATACAGCCCAAAGTACCGGATTCGCGTTACGTTTAGCAGATTCCATCTCAAAATCGAGATCTAATAATGTCCGTACTCTTCGCATCGCTACTTCATAATCGTCGTCCGACAATGGCGCAAATGCATTTTCTAATACGTCAGCTGCATGAGCTAAAATAACTAATGCCAATGTTCGTCTATCCATACGAGCGGCATCATTTACCCAACGACCTAATACAGCTTCTTGGATCTGGAAGACAGAAAGTAACATATGCCATTGTTCTATTCATGGATTATATAACTCAATTTAACATTATATATTCTTTTGTGTAAAATGTAGAACGCATTTTTTATCCTTGCCTATTGTTTTCATTTTTATACGTTTATACTTAAATATTCCTTTTATACTCTTTATTTTTTATTCTAAGAACAATGTAAGTAGCACTTTTAGCACAATTAATAAGAAATATAGAAATAACTAACGTTACAGATTTAATTGTAAATTAAATTTTCAATTAACAACATGAAGTATAATTTGATACAGATCTTTTTGAAACGTATTATTTTTCTATTAGGTATAAGTTAAATACGTAATAAGCACTGCAAAGAAGATAACTATAAAGTGTGTGTGTGTGTGTGTGTGTGTGTGTGTGTGTGTGTGTGTGTGTGTGTGTGTGTGTGTGTGTGTGTGTGTGTGTGAGTGCGGGTGTGT